ACGCCTGAACAAGAATTTCCTGAGATCCCCATGGGAGGGTAAGGTATCGTGGAAAGCTTTATTGATGATGTAAAATTAAGGGAGCTCCCCTCCAAGGCTCCATCTCCCTCTGTTTCTCATGAAAAAATTCTTTAGCAGGGCAAGAGTTAAGGCCATTGCCCAGAGTCTTCGCTCCATTTTAAAGCACAGACCAGTCCAGGAACCGGCTGACTTAGCTTGCATTCCCAGCTGCAGTCAGTCCATTGTGTGTGAGATCCCCATGGCCATGGGCTGTGAGGCTGCTTAGACCACATGGCAGGTTAGTACATGGATGGGGGCGGGCCAGGGAGCAAGAGAGTGCAAGGGAGTAGGAGCATAAGAGAGAGAAAGTTTATTTGTCTGGGGATTATAACTGGGAGTTTATCCAATTAACTCTTCAGGATTTCACGTGCTTGCAATGGCTCTGCCCCTGTAGCCAGCTATCTTTTTCCCAGGTTAGACTGACAGAAAAGCACTTTCCCTATGTCACACCAACTTCACAGTGCATGTGCCCATCTTCCCCTTTGTTGGAGCCCTTCCACCATGATTTGCAGAGAATGGACTGGTGACCTTGGGGAGTGTGAAGCTGCCCAGAGGACCATGCTTATAATGTCTGGCTTCCCCTTTGCTCTCCTTCCATTATCAGTATTAACTAGCTGCTTATGACAGTAACAATAGTGTTTTAGGCCTTGCAAGCCATATTTTAGGCTCCTCCAGCTCCTCAACTTGGCCATTGTAGTGCAAAAGCAGCTGTGGACAGTATGTAATGGAGTAGGTATTGCTTTGTTTCAATACAAGTTTATTTTTTTATTTATTTAATATATTTTATTGATTTTTTACAGAGAGGAAGGGAGATGGATAGAGAGTTCAAAACATCAATGAGAGAAACATCCATCAGCTGCCTCCTGCACACTCCCTACTGGGGATGTGCCTGCAACCAAGGTTCATGACCTTGACCAGAATCTACCCTGGGACCCTTCAGTCTGTAGACCAATGCTCTATCCATTGAGCCACACCGGTTAGGGCAGTATAAGTTCATTTATAAAAATAAATGGCAGGCCCCATTTGGCCTGTGTATAGTTTGCTGATGATCCCTACTCTAGGGCATCAGTTCTCCAAATTTTTGGTTTTAGCACCACTCTAACTATTTTGGTTTTTGGTTTTAAACTTTGAACCTCAAGAGTTTGTAGTTACTCTTAATATAGTATAGTCATATAGAGTACAAAATCTGGCTCTGTGTAAAATTCCTAGATGTGTAAATGAAGACTAGTAGCTTAACTTGATCTGAGCTTCAGTTTCCTTATCTGTAATGTTGGCATAACAGGAATGAGAACTTCTAGTAACAGAGCTATTTTTTCTTCTTTAATATGTTTTTATTGATTTCAGAGAGAGAGGGAGAAAGGGGAGAGGGAGAAAGAGAGAAACATTAATCAACTGCCTCTTGCACACCCCTTACTGGGGATTGAGCCTGCAACCTGGACATGTGCCCTGACTGGGAATTGAACCATGACCTCCTGGTTCATGGGAATGACGCTCACCCTGCTGAGCCACACTGGCCAGGCTAGTAACAGAGCTTTTATTTTTTATTCATTTATTATTAAAATATGCATATTTTAGAGAGGAAGCGAGAGG